TGTTTTTTGTTTTGTTTTTTTTTTTTTTTGAGACGGAGTTTTGCTCTTGTTACCCAGGCTGGAGTGCAATGGCGCGATCTCGGCTCACCGCAACCTCCGCCTCCCGGGTTCAGGCAATTCTCCTGCCTCAGCCTCCTGAGTAGCTGGGATTACAGGCACGCACCACCATGCCCAGCTAATTTTTTGTATTTTCAGTAGAGACGGGGTTTCACCATGTTGACCAGGATGGTCTCGATCTCTTGACCTCGTGATCCACCCGCCTCGGCCTCCCAGAGTGCTGGGATTACAGGCTTGAGCCACCGCGCCCGGCCGAGACCAGTTTGTTTTATCTGGCCATTTGTATTCTTATTTCAAGCAGCTTTTTAGGATTATTTACCTCCTTCTGTGTTTTGACTATACAGTCAAAACCCATTTCTATGTTTGAAACGTAGGCCAGGTGCGGTGGCTCTTGCCTGTAATCCTAGCATTTTGGGAGGCTGAGCCAGGCAGATCGCAGGAGCCCAGGAGTTCGAGACCAGCTTGGGCAACATGGTGAAAACCCATCTCTACAAAAATTAGCCGAGTCTTGTGGTACATGCCTGTAGTACATGCCCCAACTACGTGGGATGCTGAGGGGAGGATGGTTTTTGAGTCTAGGAGGTAAAGGCTGCAGTAAGCAGAGATTGCACCATTGCACTCCAGCCTGGGTCATAGAGTAAGACCCTGACTCAAAAAAAAAAAAAAAAGTAATTTTACTTCCTGTCAGCAGGGAGGCAGCTTAGCATAATTAAATTAGCTTTAACTTTTTTATTTTTTGAGACGGAGTCTTGCTCTGTCACCAGGAGCTAGGCTGGAGTGCAGTGGCTCAATCTCGGCTCACTGCAATCTCCGCCTCCTGGGTTCAAGCAATTCTCCTGCCTCGGCCTCCCTAGTAGCTGGGACTACAGGCGTGCGCCACCAAGCCCAGCTAATTTTTGTATTTTTTAGTAGAGACAGGGTTTCACCATGTTGGCCAGGATGGTCTCGATCTCTTGACCTTGTGAACCGCTCTCTTTGGCCGCTCTCTTTGGCCTCCCAAAGTGCTGGGATTACAGGCGTGAGCCACCGCACCTGGCCATTAGCTTTAACTTTTAATCAAACTCGTTCAAAGCCTGACTCTGCTATTTCCTAGCTTTGTAACACTGGGCAAATTGCTTAAACCTTTTTGAGCTTGTTTTCTGGTAAAATGGAGATAATTGCAACTCTACAGGAAGAACTAGCAAAAAAAACTAAATCTGGAGAGAGGAGGAAAATCAAGAAAACAGTTATCCTGGGAACCGAGCAGTGTGTTGTTTCAAAGAGGGAGTGATCATCTAGATCAAATAAGCAAAAAGAGGTCAGAGAGGTGACCATTGGAAATAAGAATATAAGATCACTGGGTTTCTTTTTTTAAAAAAGAAATTTGTTAGAGACAGGGTCGTGCTTTGTTACCGAGATTGGAGTGCAGTGGCGTGATCATGGCTCACTGCAGCTTTGAACTCCTGGGCTCAAGTGATCTTCCCCGCTCAGTATCTCAAAGCATTGGAATTACAGGCCTAAGCTATAGCATTGTGTCTGGCTACTGGGTTTCTTCCTGATAGTTTTTGGTGAAATGTTAAAAACACTCATTTGAATGGGTTTAACTGGGAGGAGGCGAATGGAAGAGAACATAGACAACTCCTGAAGATTGTTTTTGCTATAGAGAGAATGAGAGAAGGGAAGTAGCTGGAGTGAGAAACGACGTTAAGACATTTTTTTAAGTAGAGGAAAGAGTACCACATATATGTGTGCTGAAAGTAAAGATCCAGTAGGGTGGCATAATGTGATGAGAAGAGGGAAGGGATTGCCAGAGTAATGTCCTTGAATAGGCGGAATGATGGGGTGGATAGACGTGCACAAATGGCTTACGTGTTAAGGGAAGGGATAGATTGGTATAGGTGGGAGTAGAAAGCGCCCTTCTGTTTCATTGTGAAAATAGAAGTAAGGTCATCAGCTTAGAGGGAGGTTGGAGGAGTTGGTGTTGGAGGTTTGAAGACAGAAGTAATCTAGGAGAAGGGGATAGACTAGGAATTTACAGTATTATTTCTGGGCAGTATATAGAGTCTGAGGAATTATTGCTGACTGGCTCACTTTAGGCTCATATGATCATAGGTTTTTCTCCAGCTGTGTTAGCTGCATGGGTATACAGAGTAGGTGGACAATTGGTTAGATCAGGATTATGGTGTAGCCAAAAGAATAAAACCGAGACAGGAACAAGGGCTTTGAGGGAATATGCATGGGAGTGATGTTTTATTTCACCTAAATATTTTAGAATGTATCTATTATGGACAAGGATTTTAAAACATCACACACAGGCTGGGCATGGTGGCCCATGCCTGTTACCCCAGCACTTTGGGAGGCCAAGGCAGGTGGATCGTGAGGTCAGGAGATCGAGACTATCCTGGCCAACATGGTGAAACCCCATCTCTACTAAAATACAAAAAGTTAGCCAGGTGTGGTGGCGTGTGCCTGTAGTCCCAGCTACTTGGGAAGCTGAGGTAAGGGAATCTCTTGAACCCAGGAGACGGAGGTTGCAGTGAGCTGAGATCGCACCACTGCACTCCAGCGTGGCAACAGAGCAAAGCTCTGTCTCAAAAAAAAAAAAATCACGTACAACCATAATACCTTTTTTTTTTGAGACAGGGTTCAGTGTTGCACAGTGAGTGTAGGCACATACGTCTTACTGCAACCTCAACCTCCTGGGCTCAAGCAGTCCTCCTACCTCAGCTTCATGACTTGCTGGACTACAAGTGTATGCAACCATGCTTGGCTAATTTTTAATTTTTTTTGGTAAGAGATGGGGCCCAGGCTGGTGCTGGTCTCATAAACTCCTGGGCTTAAGCCTCACAAGAGTGCTAGGATTACAGCCATGAGCCACTGTGCTTGAATCATAATACTTCTTTAATATTAACTAATATTTAGTCTATTTTCAATTTTCTTTGATTTTCAAAAGCAGAAAACCCAGGTTTGTTCAATTTGGGACTAAACAAGGTCTGTACATTGCCTTTGATTGCTGTCCCTCTTAAGTCATTTATTCGATATATCTCATCTTAATCTTCTTTTTCAGACCATTGATTTGTTCAAGAAATTTGGTCTTTTGTCATTTAACTTTTGTATTCTGCTGACTGTATTCTTGTATTATTTTTAATTGGAAAAACTTTTAATTGAGGTAAAATTGATAGTTGCTATCATAACCAAATGTGTACCGTTTGGTAGTATAAAGTATATTCACGTGGTTCTGTCCTGTGGTGTTACTTTAAACATGTTCCTCTAGATCCTTTACTTTCTGTAAACTAGTGTCAGATCTGGAGAGGCTTGATTTGATTCAGGTTCAGTTTTTAACTTTGTGGGCGAGGGGTCATGGACATAGGTGATTTATGTGTACTTCTCATAGTGTCTTATTGGGAGGCACGTGGTGTTTGGTTGTCCTAATGATGAGACTGATCATTGGATTTAGGTCTTCTAGCTCAGAGGTTCTCAACCCTGGTACTTGTCCATGGCCTGTTAGGAACTGGGCTGCACAGCAGGAGTGAGCGGCAGGTGAGCAAGCATTACTGCCTGAGTTCCGCCTCATGTCGTCAGATCAGCAGCAGCATTAGATTCTCATAGGAGTACAAACCCCTTTGTTAACTGCACATGCGACGGATCTAGGTTGTGTGCTCCTTGTGATGCAATCTAACTAATGCATGATGATCTGAAGTGGTACAGTTTTCATCCTGAAACTACCCCACCTCACCAAATCCGTGGAAAATTGTCTTCACAAAACTGGTCCATGGGGCTAGAAGGGTAGAGAACTGCTGTTTTAACCTGATCTATCCATTTGAAAATTTTCCACTGATTTTTTTTTCCACTTAATGGTTTTATTAACTATTGATAATCATTGCCTAGATCCATTGTTTTATTAGAGACTGTAAACTGATTATTTTCTAATTATGTAACTCTTTTTGCATTTTATTAGCTGGAATTCTGTTAAAAACAATTACTCACCTAGTTTCTGCCAGAAATACAGGATAATTGTTTGATTCTTTTCTTTTCTTTTTTTTTTTTGAAATGGAGTTTCGCTCTTGTTACCCAGGCTGGAGTGTAATGGTGCGATGTCGCTCATTGCAACCTCCGCCTCCTGGGTTCAAGCATTTCTCCTGCCTCAGCCTCCCGAGTAGCTGCGGCTATAGGTGTGCGCCACCATGCCCACCTAATTTTTGTATTTTTAGTAGAAACAGGGTTTCACCATGTTGACCAGGATGGTCTCCCATCTCTTGACCTCATGATCCACTCGCCTCAGCCTCCCAAAGTGCTGGAATTAAAGGCGTGAGCCACTGTGCCTGGCCAATTCTTTTATTTTCTAATTTTCAGGTGACTTAAGTTTTTTGATTTTTCAGATAAAATTATGAATTCATGAAATTCATAATGACTCAGTTGCGGTCATTCTTGTGATGTTCAGATTGTCTAATATTTGGCCAGTAGAAGCTTCTTTAAGCTGGCTCCTGTGTCTGCCATAGCTGCACCCTTGTTAGCTTCTCAGCTTGTTTGTATCTGTCTTGTCCTACACTTGAAATAATCAATTTCTGCAAGAAGGTCTTTTAGTGGAAGATGGTAGCGATTATAATATGGGTGTCTACTTTTAAAAGGTGGTGTGGGCCGGTCGCGGTGGCTCACGTCTGTAATCCCAGCACTTTGGGAGGCTGAGGTCAGGAGATTGAGACCATCCTGGTCAACATGGTGAAACCCTGTTTCTACTAAAATATAAAAAATTAGCTGGGCATGGTGGCATCCGCCTGTTGTCCCAGCTACTTGGGAGGCTGAGGCAGAAGAATCGCTTGAAGAGGTTGCAGTGAGCTGAGATCACGCCAGTGCACTCCAGCCTGGGCAATAGAGTGAGATTCTGTCTCAAAAAAAAAAAAGAGATGTTATGGTTTTTGTTTATTTGATTTTTTAGAATGCTGATTGGTTTCTTTTTTTAACAGGCATGCCCAAAGAAAAATACGAGCCCCCTGACCCTCGGAGGATGTATACAATTATGTCTTCTGAGGAAGCAGCAAATGGAAAGAAATCCCATTGGGCAGAGCTTGAAATAAGTGGTAAGACATGGAAGCATGAATTTAGTATGGAAATTAAGATATGGTAGTAAAGTGAGATAGTGAGATTTCTAAAGCCAATACACAAAAGAAACAATGATTATATTTTATGAATGTAGTACATTTATAAATGATTGTATTTTAGTAACTTACCTTAGAAGCGGGAAGGTTAAATGAAAAGAATATGATTTGAGTCAAAAGTTCAAAACCCATTTGTTGCGTATTTTCTCAGTATTAGCGTCCTCTTACAAAATATAGAAATGTAAAATAACAAGGACGAAATGAAAATAACACATGTAAAATGCTAGTGCCCAGTCAACTATTTGTTCTGGTGGACATTTGATTCTCTGATAAAGTAGGAATGAGCTTTTGGATTAATCAAATGATAGATTTCTAGTGGGGTTCGAATGACTGACCTGTATAGATTTTGGGGTAGATTTGTTTCTCCTTATTTTCTTCATCGGCTTCTCAGTCTGAGTCACTGAGGACAGCCTTATTTAGAAACACATAGTCTTAGGAGTTTGAAGCAGATGTCAAATTTCCCTTCCCCTTTTAATGCAATCTGGACATACTCAAAGAAATACATGAGCCTTCAAATGTGAAGGATATCCTTTCCCCAGCATCTCTGCCAGTGGGCACACAGCCTCTTCTAAAATATTTCAAAGATGGTGAAGGGACATTACTTTTCAGGGCAACCAGTGCTAATGAAGTTTTGTGTTACTGTTGGCCTAATATGCTCCCCCTTACTTTCCTTTCTGATTTTTGCCTCCTGAAATAGTACAGAACAAATTTTCTCTTCTTTGACCTGACTGCCCTTGATTTTTAAAAGTTTAACGCAGCAGGCATACTCAGCATATGCTGTGTGTAAAACATTTTACCTGGTCCTGGCTCATGTGCATGGAAGATATATAAAAGTCCCTCTTTTTATGGAGGTTATGACATTAGGGAGTGAGAAGAAGGGAGTGTGCAAGTATAAATAACTAGTAGACAAAACTTAACAAGTCTAGGTATAAAAGTGCTATAACAGGAAGCAAAAAGGAAATAATGATCATAGCATTCCTCCTTTCTCAGCTCAAAATTTCTGGTTAACCTATAGAGTAAACTTAAATGGCTGCCTTTGCAGCCATAATAGGGGTCGGTACCCACATGAGTCTCTCCTGTTTTCCCTCTTCCAATTTCTAGAGTGCTGGACTTTACTAAACCAAGTTCAGCTCAGTAAGTAGGTATGGTCATGGAGAGTAAAATTTCTCTCTTTCCTCTCCTGTCAGATTTGGCTTTCTGTGCCGGGGAGCTCAAAGAGAAATATGCACTCTTGTTTTGTAGTTATTCTCAAAGCACAGGCAGTTACTACTCCTATTTTTTCCCTTTTAAATTTTGCAGGATTGGCATTTAACTATATTTATCTCTCTTTTTTTTCATCCCTTATTAGCAGTTTTTGAATTACAGTTCCTTTGCTTAAAAGGAAGTTTCCCCTTTCTTAAAGCATTGGAATACGCTAGAAAGCACTCAGGTCATTGATACACACCTCTGAGGCTAAGGAGATTCTCCTCCATCCTCTTCTCCTTCCACCACATGCTGTGATTTGAGTTACTGTTCTCTGCTTACCCGGAACTTTGGGAGGAAATCCTGTATACATGTATAGGGAAAAATTATGTGTTTTCTTTGCTCACACCATCACAACAATCATCAATACAAAAGAAGACTTCCGTGACCAAAGGTGTGGGTTTCTTTTCCCCACACACTGAGCAGCAGACACCAGTTAGGTGCCCTCCAATTCAATTCCAACGCTGTTTGCCTGGAGGTAGCACTGGATCCCATAGTCTGGACTCAGTCCCCAAGATTTCCCTCTCCCACTTGAGTCACCAGTCTGGGCCTCTAGAACTTTGACCAGCTTCAAGTTGGGGTTCCCACAACCCCCTATTTAGGCTCAATTAGTTTACTGGTGTGGTTCACATAACTCAGAGAAACATCTACTTACATTTACCAGTTTATTATAAAGGATGATGTTACAAATTTACCAGTTTATTATAAAGGATGATGTTACAAAGGATACAGATGAAAAGATGCATAGGGCAAGGTGTAGGGGAAGGAATGCAGCATCCATGCCCTCCCTGGACACACCACTCTTAAGGAGGAACCTTAAGCGTTCAGCTATCTAGAACAGGCGTCCCCAAACTATGGCCCGTGGGTCGCATGCTTCCCCCTGAGGCCATTTATGCGGCCCCCCCTACCCCCCGCCGCACTTCAGGAAGGGGCACCTCTTTCATTGGTGGTCAGTGAGAGGAGCACAGTATGTGGCGGCCCTCCAACGGTCTGAGGGACAGTGAACTGGCCCCCTGTGTAAAAAGTTGGGGATGCCTGATCTAGAAGCTCTCTGAACCCTGTTCTTTTGGGTTTTTATGGAGAATTTATTGCATGGGTATGGTTGACAACTGTGTAGAAATGTGATCATTGGACAAGCAAGGCACATCTGCTCAGACCTTTCTTGGGCTGTCTGTAGCATTCCTTCCTCTAGGTTATGGGGCAGGACTCTGTCTGGAATGAGGGTCTTTTGACGCACAGTCAGATTAGAGTCCTGCCTTGGGCAGATGAAAGAAGGACAGGAGAGATTGTGTTTCCTGAGGCCTTAAGCACTCCAACATTGTAACAAAGACTATGGGAGTTACGAGCCAGGAACCGTGGATGAAAACATACATATATATGTATAAAACTCACCATAATACAACATAAGAAGGAAGAGGGGAGACTCCTCTAAAGTAACCTTTCTTAATTTATTATTATTATTATATTTAGTGATGAGGTCTTGCTCTGTTCCCCAGGCTGGAGTGCAGTGGCATGATTATACATAGTTTACTGTATCATTGAATTCCTGGGCTCGTGCAATCCTCCTACCTCACTCTCCTGAGTAGCTGGGACTACCTGCCTAATATTTAAAAAATCTTCCTTAGAGATGGGGTCTTGCTTTGTTGCCCAGGCTGGTCTTGAACTCCTGGCTTTGAGCAGTCCTGCCACCTCAGCCTCTCAAAGTGCTGGAATTAGAGGCACGAGCCACTGTGTGCAACCAAAAGATGCCTTCTTAACAGTTAATCATCTTTACCATTTATCTTTACGGAGGATAAACTACTGGTTGAATAGGTTTGTAGAATGGAACCTTGTACTTCCTATTAATGAATTATTACAAGGCCAAAAGCCTTGTAATCACTACCCAGGTCAAAAATTAGAACTTTTTCAACTTTACCCAGAACCTTCTCCATATGCCACAGCCAGTCACAATCCCAACCCTGCTCCCAAAATTAACCATTATCCTGACATCTATAGTAGTTTCTTGTCTTTCGTTATGGTTTTAACACCAAATTATGTGTACAGGGAAGATTTTTGGAGGTGCCAAAACTACTACCTGTTTTAATTGTGGTGGTTACATAGCTATGCATTTGTAAAGGAATCATAAGACAGAGTGAATTTTATTGTATGTAGATTATACTGTGACATTAAAAAAATTTTTTTTTTTAAGATTCAAGGGAGAGTGACGGATAAGCAACATACAGAGAAATAGACCTCTGAAAAAAATCAATGCACAGGATTAGAACAAATACTAAAAATGATAATTCAAGGAAACTTTCCTAAATTAAAAAAAAAGTTCATACTACCCACTGAAAGAAGACACAGTATACCTGAGAATGTCAATGTAGAAAAACCAACACCAGGATATATTCTGATAAAATTACTGAGTTTAAGGAAAAAGCATACGTTTTGGGCATCTAGGCTAAAAGAGCAGGTGACTAATAAGAAAATTCGAGTGTCATTAGACCTGCAGCAAGGTTTTATGCCATACCAAAAAATTTTTTTTGGAGTAACATATATTTAAGATACTTTAAGATCATGTGAGCCAAGGATCTAGACTTCACCAAAACCGATTTTCAAATACAAAGGGCATAGACTGTTATCAACATACAGTAAACATAAGACATACTGTTACTGTGAATGCCTTTTTTTTTTTTTTTTTTTTTGAGAGGGAGTCTCGCTCTGTCACCAAGGTTGGAGTGCAGTGGTGCATGCAGTCTTGGCTCACTGTAAACTTCACCTCCCAGGTTTAAGCAATTCTCTACATCAGTTTCCTGAGTAGCTGGGATTACAGGTGAGTACCACCACTCTCGGCTAATTTTTTGTATTTTTAGTAGAGATGGGATTTCACTGGCCTGGTCTTGAACTCCTGACCTTGTGATCCACCCGCCTCAGCCTCCCAAAGTGCTGGGATTACAGGTGTGAACCATCATGCCTGGCCCCTATGAACACCTTTTAAAGAATCATCTAGAGAACAAGCTTCTAGACAACCAAAATGATTGACATATGAACTAGTAGGGGGCGTTTAATATGTAATGATTTGCAAAGCTAAGTCCAAAAATAGGAGTTTATGCGGGTTAAATGGGAAAGCTATAGTGTGTAGTGGATACATACTCTGCCAATGTAGACAGAGCACGATTATGTAAAGGAGGACAGGGCGGATGAGCTGATATGCACACTAAGTTTTGGTCTGCTTTTGGTAATCATATTGGTGGGATGAAGCAAATAAATATTCTATCATCCCATATCCCTGAGAACCAGGACTTTCAGTATTAAAGAAGATGCATATATAATTATAAAACAGGGTAACTAAAAGCCCTGTTACTCTGAATTTGAATTAAAAGTTCAGTATGTTTTCATAAGATATTTTAGCTTTAAGTGTATATTTGATATTTTGTCACAAATCATATAAAACATAATTATATCACACCATTTATTTATAAATGCATATGGCTACATATTTATGTCTAAATCTGTTCATTGAAAACCTAGAAACAAGACTAACTCTAGCTGTAAATATCTCTAGCACCGGCTGAGTTTTGTTTTTCTTAGAGATGAGGTCTCATTATGTTGCCCAGGCTGGTCTAACTCCTAGCCTCAAGCAGTTCTCCCAGGTTGGCCTCCCAAAGTGCTGGGATTATACACATAAGCCAACCTGCTCA